TTTTGTTTATTTATTTATTATTTCCAAAATTTGATTCGGCCTTGTGGTGACCCGATCCGGGGTATGATATGCATTATTATGGATTGGACTCTGCTAACTACTAACTTTTATTTTATTGCATTTTATTTATGTTATTTAATTTTATTCACCTTTAATTTATATTTATTTTAAATTTTAAATTTTTATTTTTTTACTTTTTTTATTGTTTTTTATTATTGTACTTTTTTATTTTATTTTAATTAAGTTTATTATTAATTTCTTTATTTCATGATTTATTTTCTTAGATTTAGTTTTAAATTAGATTAATATTCAAATCAAGCTTAGAAATTAAGATTTCACATTAGTTTTAATTAGGGAGCAATTCGAGTCGAGTTTTCACATTATACGCCCGATTACTCAAATCAATTGTTCGATTCTAAAATTAATTAATATTTTCTAAAAATTTAGTGTAATATAATTTAGGTAATAGTTAGATTTTAATTAGCCCCCTAACTTTAGAAATTATTAATTTAGGTCCCAAACTTCTAAATCTTTTAGAACTTGGTACTTTAGACCTCGACCTCTTTAGTCCCTAAACTTAGATTAGATTCTTAATATTGACATAATTAAATAGGTTAGATAGAGCCTCTATTTTAACTTAGATTTCAAATTAGTCTCTTAATTTAGGTGATAATTCGAAGTGGCTCTCGCTTAAAAGCTCGAGGGACCATTCCGGTTATTCGACTCAATAATCGATTAAAATAAAATAGAATTAATATTAGATCCTACGTTTTTAGATTTAAGCCCCTATGTTCTTTAATTTCCATAATTTGTCACCGTAAGTTAGAAAAAGCCTAATTTATTTTTAGAAAAATTAGGATTGAATAAAATTTTGCTTGATCGCATAGTTTTTATAAATCTAAGGCATTGTTAACTTATTAAGGAATTAATAGTATATATCCCGCAATCATGCTCAGGGGGTCACTACTGTTAATTCCCTAAATAAGTCGACATCCTTTTCAAAATTGCATCATCTTTTCTAAAAAATAAGGAAATGTTCTAGAAGATGGATGAATACTACAAGACTATATTGAAGCCGATAAAGTTCTAGAAGAGAACAAGAATGAAAGCAATCTCTCAAAGATGTTTTATATATCAAATGTGTGTCTACAAATGATCCCAAATGTGCCCATTAATAGTATTTCTAAGAAGCACATGAAAAGACTCAAAAGATGAAAACATTCTCATCAATTTAGCAATAAAATGCACTTGAATGCTTTGTCTTCTTATCTTCAAAGTTGGATGAATATTCTAGATCATTTTGGGGATGAATCTAGACAATTTGAAGCTGAATTTAGCCTTAATTTCGTCCAAGGGGTGGAAGACTCTTGCTATTCCATGCTGAAAATTGTCTTGATAAGTGAATTAAATCACCCTTCATTGCATGCTCCCTTGAAGAATATGAACAACCCTTAAACTTAGATTATAACAATCAACTTTGAATGCCTTTAATGGGTGAATTAAGAGTCCTTCAATGGCTTGTCACTTGGCTGAAGTTGAAAAGACTCTCCCTCGGCTCAAACTCATCCAAATCATCCATGCATAAAATTCCCGTAACAAAATTCCAGCCTGCACTGTCTTCAATAAATCGATCATATCTCAAGCTCTCGATATTGGATTAAGGTGATTCAAAAGGCGTTCGAAAGCTAAGAGATAGAGGAATAATGTCCAATTGATGTATAGAACCAAACACATCTGTATCGAATCCAGAATTGGAAGACATTCTGACTGACATTCTTGCATATGATGAAACCATTCAACTTCTCTCATGCACCTAGACACAAAGATGAACTTTATTCAATATTTAATTGAAAACATGCATGAAACAATCAAGAGTTAATTTAATAAACGATCTAGTTTGATGAATAAACTACTTCCCTAAATGAACTAGATGATTTAAATGCAAGGCATGCTTGAATGAACAACACACTTTTTAAATGCAATGAATGTTATGCAAACTTTAAATTCTCATGCAAATTCATGCATAAGAAAAGTAAAGTGTTCCTCCCTTATTATTCCTTCTTCATCACGTTCCAAATGTGATGTAAACATACTCTCTATGGCTGCTTGAAATTCCTTAGCCCTTGCTCGTGTGATGGGGCCACTTGGGCGGGGTTTCTTACTAGAATCACGATCGGACATTCACATATATGACTCGAAACATATAATCGAAATCATATCAGCTTGACTTGGAAAACTAAGTGCATCGAGGGGGTTTTGGGAAGAATACATAATAACATTGATTATTTTCTTTTTGAGGGTTCATCTTGACCGATTCTTTTCTATCGAGAGGATTTTCATCCTTAATGCACCAATTGTTGATGGTAACATTTGGGTTGTGGTAGCGATAGGTAGTTCATCTCTTCTGATTTAGGCAAAGAGTCGCAGTCAATGATTTAATGTTGGGTAGCCAGTATTGTGTCCTCTATCCCTATAGATGAAGAGATGATGAAGAAGAAGAAGAAGTAGAAGCCCTTCTTCAATTTTGCATGAGTAATTTTATAATAGCTTATAATGCAAGTCTTAGACATATGGCCATTATGATTATTCATAGGTTGGCGGCAAGGTATATGGATATGGGCACTTACTAATATTTGATTTTAATAGATCAAGTGTTTCTGTCAAAAATCATGTTTAAAGATTATAGCGGGTCTAAGGATATAAATCTTCTAAAAATTTAATTTGTGATGAATTTTTTTTAAAGCTTTGATAAATCTAAAAGTGACAGTAAAGAGGTATAACATATATGAATAAGCAACGTGAATTCAAGAGAAGACGCAATTAGGAAGCAAAAAGTTATGAAAGTAAAATAGTAGGCATGGTCGTATCTTGTCTTGCAAAAACTCCGCCCTGAAATTTGTTTCTGCCTCAAACTTTTCTTCTTTTTAGTTTTTATTTCTTTTTTTAGTGAATGCATTTTGCTGTGATGCATACCCTCTAAATTATAGTCTCCCTATTTTGAAATTATTTTGTAAGATTTTGAGTTTTTAAAGGGGGAAAAAGGGTTAATTAATTATTCTCTTCTTCTCATTTATTTAGTATATCAACTTTATTATCGTTAATTCTTTAAATCAAAAACATTTCATAGCAGATTCTCGTGGCGGAATTCCGTACAACTTTTATTTTTGGGTTCATCTCCAGCAATTACCTATATTTATCCCTCAGTTTTTACTCTGCAAATTTATCTTCTTCGCATGGTAAGCCACAATCTTCCTATGTATTTAATTTCTTACCCTATTCTCTTCACAACTTTGGGTTGCTCAATTTTAATCTTTTTTATGGTTTTCCAGTGAATTCTTGGGGTTTAAATTCTTGGCCCCCTTTTTAAGGGTTACATTTAATTTGATCTGCGTTTGCTTTTTTTTTTGAAGGTAAGCTTGACGACATTGAAAATTTATTCAATTATTTGGCGTTAGAGTTTGGTTTTTATGGGAGAAACTTGGTGTTCAAAGCAGGAGTTTTGGTGATTGAAGTCGATTGGCCGCAATCAAATTGGGTCATTGTTAGTTAACAAATAATTTCAGTCTCTAATATTGCTCGTAGTGGCGTGTATTTTCTTCAGAGGATTTTGCTTCTTTTACTTTGCATTTTATGCTTTGAAGATATTTACATTTCTATGTTATGGTCATTCTTGTTATAGAGAACGGATACTGTGGTGAATTGTAGGGTAGTTAAGTGTATTTGGTTAGAGAATTCTGAATACCTAAGAGAGTGAACAAGCCCACGTCTAACAGTTGCTTAGAATTGGTGTTCAACAGAATTCTGGGGATAAAAATGCCGATGTCGCGACCCACTGATCAACTGGGTACCCTCATTCTCCTGCATTGCATCTTGCGAAGTTGTGCCTAAAAGCCAGTATTGTTCTCTTTGTGTGTCTGACAGCCGTTCAAGGATTTGTTACCTGAAAGTTTGCCTCCTCGGAAATGAACCCAAGAGGTCTTGGATTTGAACCTTGTGAGGCACCCTTTCGAATAACAATCCCTTGAGGAACTGGCGAGTATCCAAAGAGGATAAAATCGATTATGTTCATGATGCCGGCATAACATGGTGTGGAGAAATGAATGTACTGATCGGTCGCTAGCTCGTGATAGTTGTGGTAAAGGAAAATATTAAGTGTAAAAATGCATGGTTCTATTTTTTTTCAGTTCTGGCGGTATGAATGTGATTCTCTCTAGAAGACAAAGATATCTCTCTGGCAGCATAGAAATGAAGTGAGTATATATTTGAATCGTTCAATTTATTACTGAGTTCTTCCCTCATAAACAACATTTTATTTCTAATGTTAAGCTATGCCTAATTTTATTGATTGTAAAAGAAAAATAAAAAGTTCAGTCATTGAAATGATTGTTAACTTGTGCCATATGGTGGATGATTCCTACTTTGGAAGCCATATAAGCAGAGTTTTCCTCATAAAGACTATGCACCAATGGATGGAAAGGGATCTACCTCTAGGAAATGAGGTATTAGTTTGCTGGTGAGTGTTGACCCTGTAAAATACATCTGAAAGTCTAACTTTGTACATTCTACTAAATAAGAAGATCTATCCATGTCGGTGCCTGTAGACAAGCAAAAGGTACATTGCTCATAGTGTAGACATTTCGTCTTTTTATTTGTCAGACAGCTTACAGTATTTGCTTATGATAATGTAAAAGGCCCATATAATTTTTATATTCACTGTTGGACATCTGTTGATTTTCTATTGTTGTGTAGTTTAACTCATGCATTCATTTCCTGACTGGCTTAAGTACTAGTAATATCTCTTCTTCACAAAGAAGGAAACCAAGGCTGATTTGTGCTCAAAGAATACTGGATTCTCAAATTTAGAATTTTAGATGTTATGGCACTTATTTAGTAATCCATCAGTGAGAAATGTGGTTATCGGGTTACGAACTATCCATGTCTTGTTCTTGGAATAGATGAAATTAAGACCTTGGAACTACTTTTATTAGCAACTTTAGACGATGTGCATATTGCATGCTGAACTCTGTTGGAGCTTGAATGTGTTCTCTAGTCTTCGAGAAAGCAATGCAATCCAGCAAAATTGCTTAAAGCCCATCTTTTATGTTCTTGAGTGCAAAGTGGAGTTTAATTGGCTTGTGGCGAACTTTCTTCTGTACAGAAATATTCTGGTTTTAATGGAGCCTTCTTGAATTCTGGTTTAATGACAGTTTTTCTTTGTAAGATCCCAAGTGTTTGTGTACTTATTTAGCTGTTAATTTTACCTGTTGCTTTGTTGGACTGAAATTTTTACAATTGGAATAACGGTTTTGTTTCAGGCTCACTTGTGTTATGATTTAGGCCACATAGCCTCTTGTGTTGTCAATGTGAACAACCATTACGGTGAAGATCAAGTAAGTCATTGAATCTTGGTGATTTTTAGACCATTAGAAAAAGATTTGCAGAGATCAAACATGCAGTCTTTTTGTACAGGATGAAGCAACCGTCATGGGGTTTGAAGTGTCGAGATCACCTGATTCTAGTTATAATAATGTGTACCCTGGGAACGAAGATGACACGCGTGACCCGCCACTTGTCCCTCCACAGCTGCATCGTACCTTGCTTAGGTGCCCTGCTAGCATGAACGCATCCGGGGATCTTCCTTTCCCCGACAACGTGATTCTAAATCATCTTTTCATTGAAGACCGAGAGCCACCAAGATCTGTAGTGGCACTTGGATTCACTCAACGTTTTCGTTCGAAGTATGTTACTCTTGTGCTATACAAGCCGGTTCCAAGAAGAGGAAGTAGCAGTACTTAAGATATGAATCGAGACCAGACTTTCGTGTCGGGTTGGCCGGTTTGCCCTTGTGACTGGAATTAGTTGCAATAGACTCTAATACAAGTTAGCAGAAAGAATATTTATTGGTTTGGCAGCGCTTGGCTTGAAGGTTTCCATTCAATCTGAAAGTTTGACATTCGGAAATAAATAAAAAGCTTTCTTTCTTTGTTTATATTAAAATATAAAAAGCTTTATCTATTCCTTTAACATATATTAAAATATATGTTACTCTATTGCTTTCTTTGTTTATATTAAAATATAACTTTTTTTTGTTTGTAAAATTTATATTTTTTGGAACTTAATGATTGATTTCAGTGGTTAAAGAGTGTGTTATTCTCTCTTGAGATTCTAAGTTTGAGTAATTGTGTTTGCAGGATGTATGTGCGTTATCAATTACTAAGGGTATGTTTGGGAATGCTTTCTAAAACCACTTTCAGCTGAAAAGTCTGTTTTTACCGCAAAATTAATGTTAAACACGTAAAAATGAAAAAAAATTACGGTGGAAATAGTATTTTCAAACCAACTACAAAAGTTAGGATTTTTGGTTTTTTTTATTTTTAATTTTGCGTTTGGAAGCAAATTATAATTTTACCCTTATTAATACATGGGATCCAATCAATTATATATTTACATTTTTTTTAATAATTTAATACTAACATACTTAAAAAATAATTTTTTACTTGTAATAATTTATTTTAATTATTTTAAAAATTTATGATTTATTTATTAAAATATTAATAGTGAGTTATATAAAATATATTTTTACTATAATTATATTTTTTATTTTTATTATAATTTAAATTGATATAATTCATTAATAATAACCTTTCAAAACAATATATAATAATAATTTTTTGAATTTATTATAGTTTAAATTGATATGATTCGAAAATATGTGTAACTATAATTTAAATGTTATATTTTTAATTTACAACATAATGTCTATAATGAAAATTTTATCTTTTAAAATTTATTTTTTAACAGTAATCTCAAATAATTAAATTTTAAACTGCACTTTGATGCAACACTTTTAAAAATCATTTTTCAAAGACTATATCAAACTGACCCTAAGAAAGATTATAAACATATAATACTATCAAAATATATATAGTACCAGATAAATTTGTGTTGTCTAAATATATAAAACCTGCACTTTGTCCTTTTAACCAGTATTTGTGGTGTTGTGAGTTTTTAGATGTGCAAGTAATTTTTTTCGTTCGGCAAATGTTTGTATTAAGAGGAAAGATTAAAAAAGTTTATAAATTGGTCATACTAGTAACAAAAAATATACTGAAAGAACAAAAACAAACACACCTAAATACTAACATGCAATAGAAGTGAAAATAAAATCCCATAATGGAAGCATGAACTAATTTATTTCTGTAGTTAAAGGTATTATTGTTATTTTTAGAGGTCATGAGTACGAGTGAGGTGATTAAGCATTTATTATCAAATGATTGAGTATTTAAAACATATACTACTTTGTAATTACTTAGCATAACATGTCACTTTTTTATTTTTATGTTATCTTTCTTTTAATTAACAGTATTTTTTTAATTCATTTTATTCAACTAATTAGGTGGTAACCTATGTTACTTATTCATATACTTAAAGCCTTTGTGTGTGTGTGTTTTTTTTGGGCATTTAGTCAATGGATTCATTCCTTTTGAAGGGGTATGCCTGCAATTATATGGCTTTATGTTATGTTTAACCACATAACAAGACTTTTGTTCTAATGTGATCAGCTCCATTATCATCCCATTAATAATACGAATTCTAATATATTTATTTATTAGGTAATTTGGAAATTTGGCTTGATATACGAATATATATATATATATATATATATATATATATATTGTAGTTTTGTACGGTGGGTACCTTGTCTTCTAAAAGCTTTAAGTTTGCTTTCTTTGGATGTTGAGCTTGAAAAGTAGTGAATAGTCAACGACCGTAAAATCAAACCAAATCGAAAATCGTAATTTTTATGTTATTTGATTTTTGTTTCGGTTTTGATTTTTAGAAAATAGCAAAGTGTGATTGATTAATCTTTTATTAAAAAAAAACCAAATCGAATATAGCCCTAACTACTTGATGAATTACACCATCAGATTATTTAGGGTGCGTTTGGTTCACGGAATCTTACATTACCAAGGGGAATTTTTTTCCCGGAATTATATTCCTACGTTTGGTTCACGGAATCTTACATTACCGGAAATACTCTTTTCCCAATAGTATCAATTTTTATTAAAATGGTGGGAATGTCATTACCTCCAAATTCTTAGGTATCTTATATTCACACTACTTTGGACAAGAATACCCTTGGACTAATGAATTCTTTTTATAACGATCCTTCTAAATTCTTATTTTTTATACTTTACTCAAAATTATAAAAATAAAAATAATATACAAAGAGTTTGATTTACTAAAATATTAATAATTTTGAGAATTAAAAATATTTTATATTTTTAATACTCAATATTTTACTATTTATAATTTTATGGGATGAAAAAATAATTTTATGGGATGAAAATAGTATTATTGTAAAAATGCAATTATTTAAAATAATATTTTACTACCATAATATTATTTGTTATATCATATTATATTTTATATAAATAAATATGATATTTATGAATATTATTTAAAAATATAAATTTAATATACTAATTATATTAATTATATATTAAATGTAATTTCTCCTCAAAAGTTTGATTCCAAGTAATCTTATATTCCTCCAACCAAACACTGTAATCTTACATTTCTGCTAAACAAACCAAACAATGTTGTCATAACCATTTTTTAGGTAAAACAATTAAATATTATTTAAAAAAACGATTATGACTTTTATTTGGAAAAATTGGGTGATTTTGAATTGATTTGTATAAAATTGAAAATGAGTTACCATCGACTTCTGGGTTAGGTAGGTCAAATACCTAAAAACGTCTTTTAAAACAATTTTAATAAAAAAAATTTATAAGACAAAATTTGGTATGCGTCACCAAAGATTCGTTTAAATGGATTCGGGAGTCGGTTACATGTAGGGAAGGATTAACACCCCCACAACGCCCAAAAACTGGTACTGTGTCGCTTACACGTTGTCGTAATGGTGGAAATAACAAATCGAATATAAAGTTAAAAGATGATATGTTTATTGAACATTGTTTAATTTGCTTCGAATTAATTAATTATAGAAAATTCTTTAACTCGAAAAGAAATCTCAAAATTAACGATCCTCCATCAAGAAAGCTAACTCGACTATTTCTTATCAATAAAACAATATTCCCTCATTAATAAATATACAAATCGAATATAAATAAAAATTGATGATTTGCAATCGCATACAATGAAATAAATTATGAATTAAAATAACACACATTGTATCAGTAAAATAAATTAATTTGTAAAATAAAATTGATTTATTTCAAGTTCGTACTTGTTCGAATGTCGTATTGGATCGTACTACTTCGAACAAGTGATACTTTCCACGCCCGTTCTACAAATTAGCGTTCTTAAAATTATTCGGATAACATTAATAGTTAAAGAAATAGAAATAAATATAAATAAAATATACGAAATAAAACATACCCAACAAATAAAGTTAAGCATATTTATTTACAAATGATATAAATAAATACATAACATAAAAAATATGTACATACATAAAGAATTGACATACAAGCAAATTAATATTACAAATTGAAATTAAATGACCAAAAAATAAGTATTTTCAATTACAAGGACCAAAATAGTAAAAACATACATTCAAAGAACCAAAATAGTTATTATTATGGGAATATTGTATTACCTTTGTAGACATCCTTAGTATTAACATGACTCTCAAATGATATACATTTTTGTTCTATATTTTCAACCTATAATTAGATAATTGTTAAGCTGAAAACGTTCATATACTTCTCAAAAAATCAAAACAATACTCCCAAAGAAACTGTCAGATAGTTTCTATCTGCATCAATGAGCAGGTAAGCAAACCATGATGAGAAAAAACAATTCCAGGTTATGCATCATGGAAAAAATATCCATTTGACCTATTAGATTGTGAGCATTTTTCAAATGAAGAAACATGGATTCCTTTTTCTTTTCTTTTTTTGGGTTATGTTAACCTTAATGGGAAATGAAGTTTGACTTTTTGAGAAATAGAAAAAGACATGAATAGATTTAAGGGAGCAAGTGAAAATAATGCTTTCTCTAAAAAAAATTAAATTAGTATATATTTTAAATATTTTCAATTGACAATATATCCTACCCTTTGAAATTTTAAAAGTCAAATTTTTAAACTTTAATTATATTTATTTTAAATATTAAATTAAATTTTATAAAATATATATTTGAAAACTATTTGATTGGAGGTTTTTAAAATATATTTTTACATATTTTTATCATTAATAAATTCTTAAAAATAATTAATCAAAATTAAAAAAATTAACCAAAATAAATAAATAATAAACATTTTATGAGACAGAGGAATAAGTTTATCCATTTCTTCTAATTTTAAAATTTATCTGCATGACCTGTCGCTTTGTCAAGCAAATCATTCACCATCTGCTGGCCCTCTCTCTTTGGTTAAAATGATCATAAATTTTTTTCCAGGTAAGCTTTTACTCCGATTGTTATGGGGATTTAGAGTTATATTTCTTTCGTACTTCCTCCCCAAATACTCTTTCCAATGATCTAAATCTCCTATATAAAAGGTTTTTGAAAAATCTCCTTCGCGGACCATATTTTCTAGGATTAATATCTCGAGATTTATATCTTCTGTTTAGATATTGTTACCTTTAACAAGATTTCTTGTATATTTTTGTAATCAATTAGAGTCAAATCCACTGTTAGACAATCAACTTACAAGTACTAATCATACTTATTTATCCTGTCAACCTAGAAGTAGTAATCATAACTCTAGGCATAACACTAACACTAAGTATCATTATAAAACTCCTCAATTAAGACTAAGAGAGGAGTCCTCTTTTTCATATTCTTAACCTTCTTCGAATTCTCTCTATCATTAAACAAATATCCTTAATTATATGTAACTTTATTGTTGATAATCAATTATGATTCTATACTTGAA